TCAGAGTTCCAAGAGTCATGAGTTTAGCTCTCCATTTGCTGTGCAGTTGTTGGAAGCCATGTGTTGCCATGGTATCCAGCTGTGCTGAGCACCCCACTGCCGGGGACCGCAGCTCCTTGCCTGGCATCCAACACATTGGCCTCTAACCCAGAAAAGCCCTGCCTGGGCAGCACCTGGAGTCCCACCGTTTGTCCCGTGTGACCTGATTACAGCTTTGATCGATGGCCAGAGCAGCCATCTGCAAAGTACTCAAAGCTCCAGCTAAAGGCTGCTTTGATTTCAGCGCCTTAAAAGTACTCATAAAGTCACCTTGAGCACACAAAGATGACTTCTCTTTCTCTTGTGGATGAGATTTCACAGATGATCTGATTAGGAAGTGTTTGGGACCAGGCTGCACTGCCACGGGCAGGAATGACACTTTTTGACTCTGTTTCTGGCTTTTTCCACATCCTCTTACTGAACGGTGTGTTTTACCTTTTAACCTAGTGTGCTTCTCTGGTGGTTTTGTCGTGAAGTAGAACAAAAATTCTAATGGTTTCTGCTCCAAACACCTCAGGCTTTCACATAAATGAAATGTCCTGAAAACAATTATTTCCCATTCATCAGCAAAAATTCCCCTGCCTGTCTGTGAGTACTTTTCCCTGGTCAGTACAGCCACATGGGGAGCTCGCTGTCTGTCAAGGGCTTGGATGTGCTGCTAAAATGCCACACACCATGGAAAGTGTTTCTGAGGAGAAACTCAGTGCATCCTTGTTTGTTCCACAGCAACAAAAAAATGGAAAAAAAACCCAAAAACCGCTGTCAAAAGGCAGATTCTGAATTTTACTCAGCATACCATAAATATAGGCAGGCCTAACTCATTATGAAACAAGATAAGAAGGAATTGAATAAATTTTTGTCTTTATGTGGCACCACATAATTGAAACCGACAAAGGTCCAGATGTACCACATGAATCTTGAATAATTGTGTTTAAGAATAGTCAAAAGAATCACAATAATTTCTGTTAGGCTGAGGATGTGCAATATGATATTTTATTAGTTTATAGGAATATGAAGTATTCATCAAATTGTCTTGTACTTCTTATTGCCTTTGAGCTCTCACTAGTCTTATGAATGATTAGCTGAGACATTCCTCTCAACAGTTACAATTCCAGGGAGGCAGGAAACAGCAGAGAAATAAAATCATGCTCATGAATCATCAGAAACTCAGCAATACCAACTGCAGTGGCCGAGGCAGGGTGCAGAACAGACAGGTATTTACTGAGTCAAGTAAATATTCAACTAAAAAAGAAAAAAACTCTGTTTTCTGCAAGTTGGGAAACTAAAAAATGAATATTTAGGAAAATTGGTTTCCCTCTGGTATTATAACCCTGCTGTTCAGTATGTTGGAGAAGAACAAAAGAAAGGGAGAAGTAGAATAGCTCAGAGTAGGCCCCCTTGGACATGACAGCCCACAGGTTCAGAAGCATCTTAGCAAAATGGAATATTCAACAAGCTTCTGCTTTTAAAGGAACTCAGAGTGTAACTAGCTATACATGGAAAAAAACAGGATTTCATTCCTCACAACTGGTACTTTTTAAACTAATGGGGAATAGATCTCTCCTACACTTTTCAGCATTTCACTAAGACTGCCCTCAAAAATGCTGTCTCTTGAATCTTAATAGATGATATCACCCCCTCTATATCATGTTTTATATTTTATATACAACCCCTTTGCACAATAATTTCTAATTTGACAATTAATCTATATTGATGCAAATCCAGATTAACAAAAACTTGATATTGGCCACAAATGTCAGTAAACACTGTGACATGAAGGAAAAAAAAGTTCAGGTACTTTAAAAAGGCATTCAACTCTGGCATCAGTAAGAGGATGAGGGGAGGAAAGGAAGAAGGAAGCAGAGAAAGAATGGAAGGACTTTAGAGACAGTAACATGTATTGAAACAGAATAAAAATATCATTACAACTCAAATGACCTGACTTGACAATAACTTCTTTTTTAAACAATGCATAGCTGAACTGGATTTCATAGAAATATTTTTATAAGACTAACTAAGAAAAGACAACTAGTAAAGGTATGTAAAAGATGTGCAGGAAATTGTACTGCACTGAAAGGTCATGCTTAATACAGAGAATGACTGTAAGCAAAGCTCTTCCTTCTTGACATTAATATTCCTTAGTATTTGTGTGTTGATGAAATCTCTAATGAAACAAAATCAGCAGGCATTGTCAGGAACAAGGATGATCAGAACAAATATAACAAGAACTGGATAACCTTGAGGACTGTAGCAACATTAAGAACACTGATTTATGTGAACAGTGTTATGAAATGCCAAGTCATGTGCTCTTAGCATTATGCAAAAAAATTCTTCAAAAAGCCAGCAAGAACCTGCTGCTGGAAAATGAGTGAGGAAGGGAAAGACCTTACTGTACTTTTTGTTCCAGAAAAGACTCTCACCTGTGATATGCAGTAGTGAAGAAAGGCAGAGGTGGCTTTTTGAAGAAAGGCAGGAGTAAATGCCATAGCGTAATACAAATTTCATCTGGGACACTGTTCATGGTGCTAGTTATTCCTAATGAAGAACTAATGCCAGTTCTGCATTTCTCTTCACATACTCCTGCATGAGAATGCTAAAAAAGACTGGAATAATCAGTTTAATGAAATGAAGTCTATGAGAAACTGCAAGTGTTTTCATTAAATGTGCTATGAAGGTCCCAGTAGGGCCAGAGGAGACACTGAATTTAAAAAAAAAATGTAGGTCCAAGCAAAGAATATTAATTTCATGCCTTCATAGGCATGAAAAGACCTGGGTAGGAATTCATAGAATATCTAACCACTACAAGAAAGAAATGTTGAAACAGCCATCTAAGAGGATCAGAAGGGCAAGAAACCAACCTTCTTCAGGCATGCAGCTAAAGCACTTTTTAGCAGTGATTATGACTTCAGCACCTGCATTTAATAACTTGCAAAGTCACTTTCAATCTTATTCATCCTGCCCATCTACCTACCAGCACTTTTGCCTTAAGTGATTCATGAGGAGTAGACACAGGTTTTCAGCAGGACAAAATGGTGTTTATGAAGACCAATAATTTTCTGAAGCAGTCTGACAGTGCTTCAAAACACAGTTCAAGTGTTACTTTATCCCCATTCTTTAGTGGACTTTATTATTGCCATGACAGACAGGCTGGCTACACTTAGTATCCTGATTTAAATCCATTTTACCTTTGTGATGCTGCAACAGAGCTCACAAATCCCCAAATGACCTCTGCTCCAGGCATCCCAACTTCTATGGTAAATTCAACTTCTACCCTCTCTGTGATATGATGAGCATTAAGTTTTCATACTGAGTGGAACAACAACTTTGAGCACTCGATACCTCAGTTTTTAGGATTGTTTCTAGAAAGATAAGTGATCTGCATCAAACCTCTACATCAGATAAAAGGGAAATTTCAATTGACAAGTCCCACATTCTAAGTCTGAATGAGAACAAGTGCTCTCATTGAAAAGCAGAGACACAACTTAATTTTCTTCTTTGCCCAAGGACTGACCTGACAGGTATTTCCTGGGAATATTTTCCAGAGCAGGTTGTGAAAGGATGAGAGGAGGGATATCTACTTTGTGAATCCCAATATAAGACTTAGTCATCTCAGCAATGCAGAGAGATGGCAAGCCCTTGCTGGCCATTTAAACAATGCTGTAAACAGAGAGAAAGCATCTCCTTTGACTCTCCAGCTTCCCACCTTACATACACAACTGGAAAATAGAAAAATACCAGGTCTTTGCTACAAGAACAATTAAAAGACACTGTCACAGCAAAAATTTTCTCAATAAAAATCTCTCTAAGCCTGAATTATGCCAAGAATTTTCTCACACATTATAATCAACCTAATATATATACTACCTATATACTGGTTGCATAATAGCAGGCTGCAGGTATGAGATCCTGAATCAAATGCTGTCAATGGAAATTGTACACAGAACTACAAAGAACCTCAAACAAACTGGATTTTATCCACTCTCAGTGCCAAGTCCACCACTGTATTTGCTGCTTGTGAATATCAGTACACAGAATTCTAAAGATAGTCTCAACTCTCCTTACTTATGCATGGAAATTATTTCAGGCAACAGTGTCACAAGAATTTTAGCATATCTGTAAATTCCAATAAGATGAATGAAATTTAGACATAAATGTAAAACATATTCTTAAATGCTTTCTCAAACAGAAGTTCAGCTGTAACGAGTTCTTACCAGACTGTAGCAGAAATCAAACACAGAAATCCCACATATTTCATAATACAGAACTTATTTTAAAAATACACATACTTGTATGCTGTATATTAAAATGTTACATTAATCTTGAAAGTTTTACATAATCTTAAAGTGTTAAATAACATACTTACAATATTGTCATTATAAAAGTGATCATGAATGTTTTTCAGAGAAAAGAAAGATTTTACTTGACAAGTTTTATCTACATAAGTTCAATAGACACCAGCCATTAAATCAGTATATATATACAGACTGTTTACATGCTTTGAAAGTTTAACTAGAGCACAGTGGTTAGGAAAAAACCCACAAAACACCTATTTCAAGGACAATTTTAACCTCTTGCCTTCACTTATAAATGGAAACAAGCTGCCACACAGTTCAGCAGTAAAGGAGGATAAAGAACTGATAATAATCCTTGTGCTCCTCACATGAACTCCAACAAGGCATTTGAATGAGACTTTTAAAGCTGTAAATTATCTATAAAAACACAGAATAACTTTTGCTAATCCTTGTGCCACAAATTACTAATCCATCTGGAAAGCTATTTTTTTGCTTGTGTTTACAAGGATCTAAGCATCATCAGACAGAAAGACAACTGGGTTAGTAGCATGTAAAAAAAAAACCTCAAAAAAACCCTGAATACAAAACATGAAAAAAACAGAACTCAACAGAAATAAAAACTCCAAAGCAGTTGAGCAGAGAATAAGTAGGATTTGCAGAAGTACTTACAGCTCTCAATCTCCAGCGTGCAGTTCTGCTCATCCAGCGGATATCTCCGCAGGTCCATCATACAAGCAGCTGTTGTTGTAATTCTGGGAAGGAAGGAAGGAAGGAAGGAGGAAAGTTTGTTAATGTGCCTTGCTCCCATCTTTCCACCATCACACTGTGCTCAAAGAAGAATCTGTATTTGTGCATAGCTGATGCTCAGCCTGGTTTTGCCTGGGTGCCAGGTCTGCTGCTGGCCGGTAACCAGCGCTGTCCCAGCCAGGCTCTCCCAGCACAGCTCCCCTCAGCACAGGAGGTTTCTGCTGTGTGCTAAGCACAGCTGACCAGCCAGAGCACCTGGGGAACCTGTTTCCACACCATGAGAAAAATGAGCAGCCATTTGTACAAGCTTTCTTCAAGCTGAAAGGCTGATCAAATGAACGAGCTCCAAATGTAAAATCCAACATGCTGATCTCCACAATGGGACCCAAGGTGGAGTAGATGGAGTGCCTGCAGCACATGCAGACACTAAGACATTAAAGGATCAATGTCTTTCCCAGGTATTAATGAGAGATTGGGTGACCAACACCTCTCTTCTCAAAATCCTGTATCATATATGAGGTTTACTACTGGCCTTTCATAGTAGATATTTGCAATGTTCAATATGAGTTCAAAAACTTGTTGGATATTCTTTGTTCTGGTAAAAAGACTTCAGAGAACTCTTTCATTTGACAGATTTTATTCTTTCTCCTTGAATACCTAAGAAAGTGCTCATTAGTGGCAGAAAATTAGAGGTGCCTGGTCAAAATTCACTCAAAATTGACTGTAGCAATCATTCCTGCAAGACAGAAATTAAGAATCTTCATAAGTGTGCTTACTGTCCTTTCCTATTGGTTTCTTGGAGAAAAGGAACATCTTTTGGCACCATGTCCTTTCTTCATTCCATGTAGGCGTACTCATAGAATACACCTACATGGAAAATATAATGGTTTTAATCTCTGTGTGTTACCAGAGATGCTTCACAACAAAGTTTTTTGGAGTGGGACAAAAGCACGGGGAGAAAGGCTCCTTTGGTGCTCTCAGTGAAAGCCTTCCAGCTTTTAACAAAATCAGACTGCTGAGAAATACATGTGAGTTGATAGAAAATGCAAATGGAGCAAGCAGCAGCACATATTGGTAAAAAAGCCTCTTGGCAGTTAATAGTTGGTTCCTCATTTTTAAATTTAAAGAAAAATCAAAGAAATCACCCTGTTCCAGTATCAATGTAAGACTGATTATTTTGGGGCAAACTTCAAGAAAGGTATTGTGAGACCAGAAAATAATTAGAGGTCGTGTTTTCTTACTGGGTTATGTTTGGGTTTTTTGTGGGGAGGTTTGTTTTGATTTCCTCAGTACTTCCATACTGATCTGTATATTATAGCCAGGATTTTACAAGAGCTTCAGTAGCTCACAGAGGAAAAGGCAGAGCACAGGCTTACAGCCAAGGTTTAAATGCACAAAAAAGTTATGGTAAAAGCTAACCTGGTTGACTATTAAGCTTCTCAGAGCTTTCTCTGCACTGAACACTTCATTCCAGGGTCTACCAGAGCCAAGGGTTCCACACAGAGACAACCCCCAGCCCGTGCCACCCTCTGCAGAGTGTCTGTACCCACTGCTGGAGCAGAGAACTCACAGCTCTCACACATTGCCAGAGGAGTTTTGGTGCAAAAACCAAGAGGGGCCAAAGGCTGCAGACAGCTGGGATAAAAGCTCTGTAGGGAACATCAGGAAATCTTTAAAGGACACAATGCCCTGCACCTCACTAGAAAGTAAAGGGAAAAAAGTGGCATGGTAAGGAAAATGATTTGTAGAGCAGGGATTTAATCAAATCAAAACAGAAGTTTTGAATAATGTATTAAATTCAACATGCTTGTTCCTTCCTATCCATAATGCAAATCCATTGAAATAAAATCAGTAGTCTGTCCTTTCCTCTCCTCTTACCTCCCTCATATTTTTAGCCTGGCTTCTCACATTAATAGTGAAGTAGAAAAAGTTCTCTTTCATCTTCATAATTAATTAAACAGCAAAACTACCTTTGGACAATTCTTAGTGGTTCACAATTAATGGTGATTAGCTAAATCAATTCACCAAAGCAACAGAGTGCAAGAATTACCACCTTGGAATACTTTGAAAGGCAAGAGACATGACCCACACCTTTTCAGACAGAAGAAGAAACAGAAGTTCATTTTAGAAGTTGGGAAGACTTGAAACAGGCCCAAAGCCTCTCCTCCAGAACAGAGCTACTTCAATTTTCACAGCAGGATTAAAAATATTTTTATACAGCTTGTACTAGTGCAAAAAATGTAACATTGTGTTTTGCATAATGTAACCTTGAGAACAAACAGTGGAAAAGTGAAAGCTTTTAAAAAAACAACACAGTGACTCAAGGCATGGCAGTCATTGGGGATGATACACAATAGCAGGACTCAGAGAGGCACCGCATGAAATGAAACACATCACAGAACTGTCTCTCTCATACACTCATCTTTTCATCTGTTGCTAAAGAAAGAGAAACCTTGTGATATTTTATGATTCCTAACAATGGAAATGAGTTTTCATCTTCCTCTTTTATGAACTTTATTTTGAATGTAGACTGATTATGAGGCACAAAAAAAAAAAAAAGCAAACCCCGAAGCACCACTACACTGACTAAATAAAGTATTGTGAAGTAGACCTAGAGAAAACTTCTTGTGTTAAAACAAGCACAGCTACACTGCAAAAAATCTGCACCACAACTGACTTGCAGGGAAAGTAAAGTTTGCTGTCAATAATTCAAAATAATTCAGATAAACTCTGAGAAAGATGAAAATCTGCTCACTTTGGAAGGTTTTGGATTCAAATAACAGTCAGAAATTCTCACTACTTCTTTAAGAGGCCAAATGTGAAGGCCATAAAGAACTTTTTTTAAACACTTGCAAACTTAAAGTGAGGCAGAAAATAATACCCCTACTATAATGCTATCCCAGAAGTGCCAGTAGGTCTTATTTTGCAGTTCTGTGCAGGGAACAGTTTTTCAAAATCCCATAAATTTTGCTTTTCTGACAAGTTCAAATATGATTTGAAATCCAAAATAGCAACTTAAACAGTTCTGACATCACTAGTGGGGGAAAAAGAGCACTGGAAGACAGGAGAGCAATGCTAATGCCATGTGGAGATGGACAGAATCCAATTCCCTCTTGGAGCTGCAGTGGCTTTGCAAAGCTGTGGAGAATAAAGCAGTAAGAGAAACTTATGTCTGGCCTGGAAGCAGCCCTGCCCTGTAATCACAGGCTCACAGACACACAGCAGTGATGAGCAAGAGGGTGACAAGATCAGTACAAGAACTCTGTCACACCCTCCTCTCCTGTTCTACCTCTAACAGACCATGGACTCAAAGAGCCCAGGAGGAAAACACAAGAACTAATTCTTGCTCTAAATGTATGCACATATATCCTGTTGAAAGCAGAGTGAAATTCTGCTTCAGCTCTGTGTACCTGCAAGCTGAGTGCCGACCATCAACAGCACCAGGAGCAATCCAAAGAGCTCACAGGGACAACAGACTCAACCTCTTGATTGAGAACTTTATAAGAATTCTCTGTGTGTGGTGAAAGAGTCAGGAACTCTCTAATTTAGTCACTGAAATAATTTACTGCAGCTAAACCCACTGTTCACCTTTGCTTCTTGGAAAAAGTCCCCATGCATAACAGTTGGAAATACCTGTGACAGCAGCAGCCAGCAGAACCAATTTTAAATACCTGGAAATTCTGGGAACAAAACATCAGGAGGATCAATCTCTCTCCTGGATGATAACATTGGATTTAAACATATGTCAAGGTTGATAGACATACTAACAGATCTACTTTTAAATAAAACAAATTTATTGCTAATTAGAGAGTTCACAGAATTTTTCTCCTGTTTATTCACAGAAAAGAAAAGCCTCCCTTGTGTGATCATAGGTAAAGACTTGGCTGTAGGAAACGCCAAACAATAGATTCTAAAAATTCAACATTAAATCTAAACATTCAGCTACTGAATTTTTCAGCTATAAATCAGCTATAGACTTTCAACTGCAAACAGCATATAGAGTATCAGTGTAGTTTTATAGGAAAAGAACAGTTTTTTTATTAATGTTGATGTCTCTATTTGAGATGAAACAATATACACATGCTACCCAGAATCTGTAACATGCTCTCCTCCAACACTACTCCTCAACATTTCCTAAGTATTCCAACCTAAGTGCCAAGAGCTCACTTTTCTTACTCCATCTGGAAGTAATGACATGTAGATATTTCCCCCTTGATTCTGTAGTGTGCAATCCTTAGACAGTAAGGTGTTCTCTGACAGCACTAAGTATATTTCTCAAAGCTGAAAGGCAGAACCATAATACAAGTTAAGAATATGAAGGATATTATACTAAAGCATTATCTAAATGTAATACAAGAGAGGGAAAACTTTTGCAGCTGATAAAACACAGGGAGTCAGAATTCACACAGAAACTTTGACCTCATTAAGTTGTGTTGTTGCTGAGATTATTGGCAAAAGCAGCATATGGGATTTTTAAAGGAAACTAAAATCTATATGCCTCTGATCTTTCTTGGGAAGATGTTCTGCATTTCTCTGCTCAAGTACAGCCTATTGTGCCATCTGCATGTCAGAAGGGAAGAGTCCTGGAAAACCAGGGCTCTTATTTCATGGTAAAAGAATTCTGTCACAGAAGAATCAGAATTTTGCTGCAGGGTTCCTTTTTATCTCCTGCTATATATGTAGCTCTATAAATTGTTCTTTAAGTGAGATAGCATTTCCTACTATCCTGTCACTGTGTCCAAAATTCAGCCATAGCATCATTGTAATTATATCCTTGCAAAAAGCATACATCACAAAGCAGTAAAATCTTCTGCTACAATAACCTCAGCTTTAGACTGAATTCATTCAAACCTTTCTCTGAAGTAATAGGTTCTTCTCCAGAAAATAATACCTACATAAAATGGCAGAAAAGCTCAGAGGAGCACTTCATAATTTTAATATTTTATCACTGAGAAATGTATCCTTGTCTTTCAGCATTCACTTCACTTCTCCCTTTCAAAAGAAA